TGACCGTACAATATAATAGTGTGGTCAACCTGTAGCAGGAGAGAATAATTATTATTATTAATGAGATGTTTTGGTATGTGAATTATAATGATTTAGTGAACACTTAATTAACTTTCTCAAGATACTACCCCACAATTTTGTTAATACACTGTATGCAACATTGATCAGCAGTTTTAATAATAGACTACTCCATAGTTTCCTATCTCATGTCATAGGCAGGCCTGGTGTGTGGGTGGTGGTTATTCATTGTCATAATAAATTGTGTGTACAATTAATAAAAAACCACAATAATTAATAGTGACATGACACCATCCAGGTGAAAAAAGAAAGCTAATTTGCAAATGACCAATCACCAAAATAAAACTTTGTTAAAATAATAATTTATGACAATTTACAAAAACATATTTTCTTCTTACATCTACATGTGTAATTACATGTACATGTATTTGCAATAAAAAGTCACCAAAAAGCCATTAAATTAACTTTGTACACTACTAGTTTAATCCTCATCCTCTCATACTCCCCTCCCTCTCTATCTCTCATTCCTTACTAAATTATCATTATCATCATCAACAGGTGCTGGACTGTAAGAGACTCGATAAGCTTTAGCTGCTGTATGTACCTCTTCATTTGTTCCTGTTAGTCCTAACAGCTTAGGATGAAACTCTATAAAAGATAAAATAAAATAATAATATTGCTACGTGTAGAACTACATTACATACTGGCATATTGTTATGGTTACACTATGACGTATACACATGTACATGTACATAAAATAATTAGATTTGGTGGATTGGGTTCAATACTTCAATTTAACTTATTAAAAACAAATTGTTGGGCAACTAATAGCTAATTTAACACTTTAAAAACTCATAAATACTGATATTTAATTTGAATGTGAATCAGCTTAAATTTTATACGGAAATACATGTAAAAGTATGTAAAGTAGTATGACGAACATTGGCTAAAAATTCATAAAAAATTCAATTTTGATTGGAATCAGCTCAAACTTTCTACACAACATAAGAACATGTACATGTATCTGGAAAAATTATAAAAATAGAGAATTTTCTCCTTTTCATTTTTGGCAAAATTTTACCAAAACCCC